TCGCTTGCATGTCTTTTCCGCTTCTTCCCACCATACTTTTCATGTTTACCAAACAATCTGAAGGACACATATATTTTGTAACTGAGCTAAGATTTGGTGAATAGGTTTTCGAGCCGGAGGAGGTCGTTTCTCAACCATACCATCAAACTTTTTATTTTTTCTCATCCCATGTTTAATAGGAAGCCATCGCCGATGGCCAACAAAACAAGTCTTACTTGTTATCCTCTTTGAAGGAGTTACAACGTTGCAAGTTGGGCATGCTAAATAGCCCTGATCACTCCATCTAGATAAACTACTACAAGCAGGAAAATCATTAACAGTCATGAGCAACATAGCTCGAATTTGAAATGATGTATTCGAAATTGTGTCACGTACAATTACTCCATCATTCCACAAATCTTTTAGCTTATCCACAAGAGGCCTTAAAATGACATCCATATCCTTTCCGGGTGCATTTGGGCCAGGAATCAACAATGTCAACATCTTATAAGGATCTTTAGTGCATAACCACGGAGGTAAATTGTAAGCCGTTAAAACCATCGGCCACATACTGTATGAGAGGCTCATGTTACTGAAAGGATTAAAACCATCAGCGGCCAACCCCAAGCGAACATTTCTCGGCTCACGTGAAAACTCAGGATACTTTTCATCTATCCCCTTCCATTCAATACCATCGACTGGATGACGCATTAAATCCTCATCATTTGAACGCCCACGCTGGTGCCACGCCATATCTTTAGCTGTGTGACGAGAACCGTACAGACGCTTCAACCGATCTGTTAACGAGAAATAACGTAGTACTTTCCACGGGACTTGTTTAGTACCCTTTGTCTTTTTTTTCTTCCAACGTGATGTTTTACATACATGACATGTATGTAGATCAGTGTTCTCCTTCCAAAATAAAGCACAATCGTACTTGCAGACATGAATTGTTTCGTAACCCAATCCAAGTTTACTCATGAACTTCTTCGACTCATAATGAGAAGAAGGTAACTTCACATCTGGAAATGCATCTTTCAATAGACTTAAGACATCATCCATACACTCATTAGGCCACTTGTATAACACTTTTAAATGCATCAATTTCACTAAGAAATTTAAAGATGAATACTTAGTGCAGCCCGGATACAATCCCACCTGGAGCTCAGAAAGTAGATACTTAAATTCAGCGTATTGTGCATCTTCTAGATCCACATGCGTCTCATCCAATATTCCATGGTCATCATTAATCCCGGCAACGTCTTCTAAGACTGCAAACATCTCGTCTACTGGTTGATTAACTATTGGGTCTACACCTGAAAGCGCCTCTACTTCACCACGGTGAATCCATGTTCTATACAATGGATCAAAACCATATCGATGTATATGCGCTCTCACAGTTTCTATTGGATGCATTTCATGGTTTCTACATTTCATACAAGGACAGCTGATATGGCCAATTGAAGTTACATAATTTTTGGCGACCTCAATAAAAGCAGATAATCCATTCCAATATTCATTCGACAATCAGTTCCTCAAAGAAGTCCAACTTTTGTCAATCGGCATTTCAACTATAAACGACACCAGACATAACAATTTATTAATGTGTTCAATTAATTTTAATTTTATTCTTAATTAACACAATTAAGTTTTATTAATTAAATTGTGTTAATTAACTTATTAAAATTATGGTTTCCTAAGTAAAATTCGGCAGCATAACGACTTATTTTTCATATAATCTAAAAATCAAAACCTGCAGAAAAACAACTTTAAAAGATTTCGGCACACCATAGCTGTAAGATGTGCCACCCAGAACAAGAATCATAAACATATACTAAATTTCAACATAATCCCGAATTCATACAACTACTAAAATTTTAAACTAAACAAATATAAAATACTTACAAAGTTCAAACCCACTAAACGGGGGCTGAAAATAGAAGGATTACGTCGGAAGAACCGTGCAAACAAGGATGAAGGCGAAAAATCAAACGCCTACATCAAATTAAAACATCAAACATAATTTTCAAACACCAAAATTAACATTTTATTAACATCTAGAGTAACATATAAACACAATAATAAGTATAATGATTCTAAGTTCTAAATATAATCTAGTCATCTAGTTCTAAATTCTACTCATCTAGTTCTAAGTATAATACTTAGGAAATAATTTTAAGTTCTATAATCTAGTTCTAATAACAAGTATAATGCTTAACAAATATAATGCTTAAGAAAAAAAAGAACAATATTGTTAAGAAAAAAAAAAATACCTGTTCGTGAACGGGCGGGCGTGGGGTGGCGGGACCGGGGCGGCGGGAGCAGGGCGCCAGGAGCGGGCTGGCGGAACCAGGTTTTTTTGGAAAGAGAGAGATATTGCAGGAGAGAGAGAGATATTTTGCAGAGAGAGTCGGGAGAAAATGAAGAAGAAGAAGAAGCGTATATTAGGTCACAGTTATTTGCGACGACACATTCGTCGCAAATAAATTTAAAATATCGTCGCAAATAATTTTTTATTTGCGACGACAATGTCGTCGCAATTAATACAAACATCGTCGCAAATAACCTTTTTTTTTTCCGCGCATACTTTCTCGTCAACTGGATTATTTGCGACAACATTGAAACAATGTTGTCGCAAATAATCCAAAACTATTTGCGACGACGTGTCGTCGCAAATATTCGCTGCTTGTCGTCGGAAAAAAAATGGATTACCTTGGCGCCAAAAATCCGCGCCATTGAAATTTGCGCGCCAATATTATTTGCGATGACATTAAACTTATTAGCGACGACATGTGCATTTTATTTAACGGAAGGTATTTGCGACGACATGTCGTCACAAATAGTGAATTATTTGTGACGACATATGTCGTCGCAAAAAAAGTCGTCGCAAATGGGCATAATTGTTGTAGTGTTTGTATACTAAGCACTTCTTGTACCCATGTCATTCCTAGTGTATTTGCTTCTTTTCCTGTTGGCATATATATATATATATATGTATGTATGTATGTGTGTATGAGAAATATCAAATAAGTAAAAGGTCAAGGGCTTGAAAATGTCACCTAGCACGAACAACTGTAAAGTACCTTGTGTTATGAAAGAAAAATGTTAAAAACGTCAATAGCTTTCTGCATGTCGTAGTGTTATTATGTGGGCCTCCTTTAAGATATCTACATGATCGTTTCCCAATTGCATGTCATTTTCAGTCGTCAAGAACCACAATGATAACACTGATAATACCATGGAATGCCAGAATGGCTATTCCTAACGATAATTATGAACTCTTTTTAATATAGTTCTACAATTCTTGGACTCTGGTTGATGAATGATGAAAGATCTACATGCTTAAGGACATGTTTGGTGCACCAATTGTATTGCATTGTATAATTTTTATATAATACGGTTTTTGGTTAGTGGTATTATTAAATATTATACTATTTTTACTATTGTAATCTATTTACATATTAGTTTGTAATAAGATTAAATTTAGCCTAATCATAACCTAATTCGACTCTAATATCGATTTGAACCCAACATTTTGAGGAAGCAAGGGAGAAAGTAGAGTTGCTATATAGGGTCTTTTTGTAAAAAAATTTAAAAAATGAGGTCAAATTGTAATTTTTAAAAAATTAAGGGGTGACAATATAATTTTAAAAAGTTGAGGGGTCAAAATATAATTTTAAAAAATTGATGGATTAAAACATAATTTTTTAAAAGTTTAGGGTCAACATGTAATTTTAAAAAAATATAAAACCTAACATTACTCCGGTCTCAAAACTCAACCCCAATGTCAATCATAAAACCCAATCTTGAGTCTTGATATTTGTGAAATATTTTATATATTTTTAATATGATATTTTATACAATACAGAGTGTTTATACGGTATATTAAATATGCTCTGAGAGAGAACAAAAAAGAAGAGGGAAAAAAATTTCATAGCCACGTATATCACTTGCATGCTGCACGAGTTCCGTAGCTCTTTTTTTTAACAGTAATTAAATTCAATAGAGTTAGCAACGAACGACATTGATTGAGACAATTGGCAAATCCGTTGGTCCCAATGTGTTTGTGATTTTTTTTTTTGGAGCAGACATTTCATCGGATCGAAGCAATATAATATCTGACCTTCTAAATTCTTATTTGACATTTCTTTTATATATACATATATATATATATATATATGATTGGAATATAGTTCAAAATGGTCGACATATGTAATCAATCGCCTCTAGCGCATGACAAAGTGAATGAGTTTGCCCCTCCATTTCAAGCAAAGGAAACAATCATACCATCCGAATTGCTTTGTCGCAAGTCCATTGGTTACATATTTGTTTTGTGCGCCCAATATTTCTGCAAATCTTTTCAGCTGCAGGCATAGAAAAAGAAAGTACAAAATTGCAAAAAGGCAAAGACATTCACATTCATAATTTATGATATCTCAAAGAATATTTTTGTACACGTATTTTTTTTTTTTTTTGCTGGAAAAGATTTTTTTAACACGGATTTGAATGCAAGAAAATTTTCTTCTTCGTTGTACAACTGCCATATTTGAAAGAAAAAAAGTAATCAAAATTAGAAAATAAAAAAAAATAAAAAAACCGCACGTGTACTAACACGTGACTTGAAAGTGACAGCGACATGCTCCTCTCTTTTTCAGCATAGACCATTTCTGTCCTCAGTCCTTTCTTTGAAGCTCATGACAGAAGCCCCACAAAAGCTACATCCGAAAATTGACAGTTTTTGTAGTCTGGTGCATTCCCTGTCTTTTTAGCCTTCCCCACCCTAACATTTTCTTTTTTAAATGGTTTTTTCTTTCTTTGAAAAAGAAAATAAAAATTTTGAAAACATAAAATAAAAATTAAATTAAAAATCCTACACTTGTTCACTAGACAAGTTACGAGGTGGTCCCCACCCCAAGCCGACTTGGCTCGCTCCAACTCGGAAGCCACGGCTCCCGCACGTTAGCGCGTGTGGTCACCCAAATACAACTAAAAACGGACCAGAGAACTGAGGAGAAAATTAAACTAATTGGAAAAGAAAAAAAAAAAATAGTAACACACGAAGAAGAAACGTTGGGTTCTCTTTTCTCTCTAAGCTCCGGAGGGCGAAAGCGAGGGTTTTGTGAAGAAGAGAGAGAGGGAAATAAAACCCGAGTTTTAGGGAGAGATAGCGACTAGAGAGAGAAGCCCCAACCTTAGGCGGAAGAGGAGAGAGAAAGAGGGGGCGAGATTGGAGATTTTCTCTTTTTCAGCTGTGGTGAAGGCTAGGGTTTTCAAATTCATTCATGAAGGTAAAGGATATAGTCGAATCGTAATTATTTATCAATGTTGTTTTATGTCATTAATTCGTTTCTGTTATTGTGATTAGCGATATTAATCATACGCCTTAGGGCGCCATTAATTCTGATAATCCTGTTTAAATTCGAGATAAATGAGATTTTCCATGGATTGCCTGCTTAACCAAAGTGTGAAGCCAGAGTTTTTTCTGTTTAATTGGGTTCCTTGAATTCTAGGGTTTGGTATTTACAAATTTTTTTGGTCGGAAAATCGAAGAATCTGTATCACTTTCGTATTTGATTTTAGCTTAGGCTGGTCTATAAGTTAGCTAGGTCTCGCTTTATTCATCTTATGTGGTTATGGTGTGTATTTAGGGTTTTCATTTTAGTGCTTGTTTGGCTGTTTCAGGAGTAGAATATAAGCAATTTGGAAATTGCGGTTGAAAGTCTAATAATTGGATCCTCGTGGCTCTACAGCAGGCGCTTAAGCATCTGGTAATTCCCATTCTGATTTTGATTTGGATTTTGGTACATTGCTTAATTATTCATACAGATTAATCAATATACGTACGCTTGATCAATCTGTTTGGATGACCATTTGTTTGGTCTCTTTCTGCATAATTGATTTATTGTGGTCTTATACCTTCTAATTTTGGAAGTGACGCAAAATTATCGATTTCCTTATCCATACACTGCACTTTGTGGCACTTGTCAATTTTGATTCTTTCTATTTTTGATTCTTTCTATTGCGTGATATCAGACTTTTTTTGATCTGTAAGAACTCCAAACATCGTTAAAAGGTGGACATCTCCCTATTTTTTGTTCCTCACTGTCAGTTGTCAAAATTTTCTGTGTGGCTAGGATTAAATATATGTGGACAGGCAATTTTTCAGTATATTGTATATCTTCTGGAGTTTCATATATTGTTCTATTTTGTTTGGGGGCTCTTGCTGTCTCTTAGGAATCTCATTTATTGCGTGTGTATTTTGCTAATGCTGTCTTCATTTGAAGTTGGATTTAGCATGAGATGATTCTGTTCTTCAGGGCTAAGTTGAACTTTCCTTCTGAACTTTTTTTTTCTTTCTAAATTGTTAAGAGTAAGGATTGAAAAGTAAATATAATGAAGTTGTTTCGAGCTAAGACCTTTCTTCGGAAAGAAACATTCTTATTTTGATCCTTTTTTTTTCAGTACTGTGATTGCATGATTTACCAATAATGAGAATTTGACTGTTGTTTCCTCTGTTTTCCGACTTAACTTCAGTTTCTGTTTTAGCTTAAGTAAATGTTACTAGATGTTGTCATAGATTATCTTATCCAAGCTATTAAGAATACTGATATTTTCCAAAGTAGTCCATTGATTTATGTTTGAACTTTATGCTTAACAAATAACAGTGGATTGTTTGCATTGATTTTTATGCATGTTTGTGTAACTTTGCGCCCTTTTAATCCCTGATTTGCTCTACATTTTTTTGAATAGAATGAATAAAGGTGGATCTTGGAAGGAAAAAATTACAGAACTATTCCTTAGGCCCACAAAAAAGTTATTTTGGTACAATATGGGAAGAGGGAAGGGAAGAGAAGGGAGAAAAAGTGAGGGAACGAGTGCAATTTTTTTGCTGGCGAGGAAGATAGGAAAAATGAGAATTTTAAAGCAACTCTATTTTTATTCCTAAAATTAAGTTTGAAATCTGTGATTATAACGATCTCCATCATATAAGACAGAATTTTGTTATCTGTCAAATTCAGTCGTGAAGATTTTCAAGTGACTTATTAATAAAAAGAATAAATAATAAATGATAAACGAATTTTGTTATCTTTATACGGTTAAACTGCATGTTCACAAACTTGTTGATGCAGTGTTTTCCAGAATACTTTGATAAATTTCGTTCTGAAGTCTACAACAATTCTGCATGGGAGAAAAAACGTTGTTTCTGCACAATTACTTATGTGAAATCAAGAAACATGGTATGTGAAGCAGTATGACGCTCGAGGATTTCTTCACCTTGACTGAGATGAAAGATGGGCTCACAGCCCTATCTCGAGTTGAGGAGCTGGTAACGGTAATGCAGAAGGAGAAAGATTGTGCGGTGAAGAATGTTGGTGATGCATCTAGGCAGTGGGCTGCTGTGGCCAGCACTATTGCTGCCACAGAGAATAAAGATTGCCTTGATCTTTTTATTCAATTAGACGGTCTCTGGTTCATTGATAGATGGCTAAAAGATGCTCAAAAGTTTTGTACTGATACAAATGAAAGCTTTGTAGAAGAGTCAATCACTGCTCTACTACAAGCACTTGAAAAGCTGCATATAAATAATGAGAGATCAGTGTCTTCAGGAATCTGGATTACGGTCAAGAATCTTCTTGGCCACAAAAGTTCTACAGTTCAGGATAGAGCAAGAATTCTGTTTGATAGCTGGACGCAGGAAAGGAAGGGAGACGCAAGTAACTGTGAAGTTGACAATGTTGTGGTATCTCATGATGATGCAAGTTCAAAGCTTGTTTCAGAGGACAGTAGACCATCTCCTTCAGGTATTCCTGTTACTTCTGAAGGAACTGTTAAAGGGGAAACTCTCAGTTCAGAACCTGCAGAAAGGGGTGATGATGTAGAGATCCATACTGATAACAATCCGCTTAGCACCCACAAAATCTTAGACAGTGCAGACACAAAAGAGAGATCTGCAGATCCCCTGCCCTCTTCTGTTGTTTCAAACCCTGTTAAAGAAAATCCTTCAGCGATAGAAGATTCCCCTGTATGTCCTTTAGGAGTAACGTCTGTTGAGACTAGTTTTCCAGATACGAAGAAAGGCACTGATGAAGGAACTACAGATTTCCAAATAGTGAATGAGTTCTCCCAAAATGAAAAGCAGGCAGACAAAGTTGAAAGTTCTATATCTAGTCCTGTGGAACCTGGAAGTGCTCCACTGGATGCCGCTGCTGCAAGTCCTCCGGAGTCAAAGAAGCAGCCTGATTTGCAAAATAAAGTTGAAGCCAGTGAGAATGATATGTGTGAAAAAATCTCTGCCACAGATTGTGCACCAGCTGATTCAAAGAGTGTGGTGGGAGAATGTAGGGTTGGAAATCATTGCAGTGCAGCGGAAGACGGTGAACGTCGTTCTAATGCATTGCAGGACTCATCTGTTAATGGTACTGTGTTTGGGAACCCTGAGGATTTAGAGACGTCTTCTAGGTTGGATGACCTGGGAACCGTTGACGAGGATAAGGAGCATGCTAGTGATGAAGATAGGGATTTTAGAATTGCATATGAATTCTCTAAGCCTGTGATGGATACCAAAAGTTCAGGTGCTATTAACAAGAGAAGGTCTGATAGTGAACTTGATTATGGTGTTGATGCTTTAGAAGTTGCTCGACAGGTTGCCAAAGCAGTTGAAAGAGAAGTCTTCAAAGGACCATTTACAAGCTCATCTTCTGAGAAAACCTCAGAAGGTGGACTGAAGCAACCAGGTAGCCCTGACTCCATAAATGAGAAACAGGACCTGCCTACCGAGATTCCACCAAATGAGGTGCCAGCTGCTCAAACCCGTTCTTCCGAGGCAGCTAATCTGGATACGACATCAGAGAACTGCAATCAGGATATAGAGTCCTCCCAGGTGACGGAAGCAGCACAAGAAATGGAGATTAACATAGAAAAAGGTTTGTGTGGTTTTGATCTAAATGAAGAAGTTTGCTCTGATGAGATGGATGGGCCTGGTAATACTGTATCCACACCAATTTCGGTTGTTTCTGCTTCGAGACCAGCAACTATTCCTGGATTGCCTGTAGCCCCTTTACAGTTTGAGGGTACTCTTGGATGGAAAGGATCTGCTGCTACTAGTGCTTTTCGACCAGCTTCACCGCGTAAAAATTCTGACAGTGATAAGAATCACTCTGTTGGGGGTACAAGCGATAGTGGCTCAAAGCAGAGGCACGATTTTCTTGATATTGATCTTAATGTGGCTGAGGGTGGAGATGATTTAGGGAAACAAATTCCAGCATCTTCTGGCCTTCCTTCTGGGGAATCATCTGTAGAAGTGAGCCAAAGATCAGAAAGGTTCAAGCTGGATTTAAACCGGATTGAGGATGATGGCGATGTTCTACCATCAAACTTAACAGTGGAAGGGCAGCATATGTACAACCGAAGCGGCCGTCGCAGCCCTTCTCCTGCCTCTTCATCATCATCAATGCAACCTTCTATGAGAAACTTTGATTTGAATGATAGGCCGGCCTTTCAAGACTCGTTAGATCAAGGACCTGGTAAGCCTTCACAGACTGTAAATCCACATATAGTGCCTAAACCAGATGCTTCTGTCATTTCCATAATGGGTACCAGAGTCGAGATCAACAGAAAAGAGTTTGTCCCTCAAGTCCTCTCCCTACCAAATGGCAAGGGTATAGAGTCTGCAGTAGATTCTACCATGACAAGAACAGGAAGCTTTCTGGGGTTGGCTCCCACTGGTTCTTACACTCCTGCGTCTGTGTTTGGTTATAATGGTCTGACAACAGGGCCTACAATGTCTCTGTCCTCTGCCTTATATGGACCCAGTGGTACAATCCCCTGCGTGGTGGATACACGAACCACGGTAATGCCTCAAATTGTGCCCTCTGCACCAGCTGTTCCACCTTATTCCCAGCCACCATTCATTCTGAGCATGACTAATACACAACCGGGTCTAAACGGTGCTGGGCCATCACGCCCCAATTTCGATCTAAATTCTGGTTTCATGGTTGAAGGAGGGAATAGGGACTCGGGTCTAAGGCAGTTCTTCATTACTGGGCAAGGAAGGCCGGTGGAGGAGCATTTGAGGACCAATTCACAGCCCCCTTCAAGTTCCAGCATTGGCGGAAAAAGGAAGGAACCGGATGGTGGGTGGGAAGCTTATCAATTTAGCTACAAACAGCAGCAACCACCGTGGAGATAGAAGTTTTTTTGTTCTCCTGCACTTATTGCTCTCTTTGGATCGATTCTTAAGTCCAACTAGTAGATTGATGCTTGCACTCCGATTTCGAAGATGATCCGGAAGAAATTAATAAAGCTGGAGGGATTGTCAATGTAACATGATTTATACGATTAATTGCTGAAGGGAAAGAAATTAGGTTCTTGTTTTGATTTTCTTGTATTTTCTTTTCTTTTTTCTGTTTCATAGGAGGCATTTCAAGGTAGAAGACTTGGGAATATTTAGCTGTAATTTCTTGTCCTTGTATATCACAAAAATATAGGAACGGGTCTCTAAGTTATATTCGTGGTGCTTCTTGAAAGTGAACGGTTTTGCCGGCAATTCTGTAGATGAAGAGAGTAAACGAGTGAAAAAAATATTTGACTGCCTCTTTCTTTATAAAGAAATCAACTCTCTTCCACCACCGCTTGACACCGGAAAAATGTTGGATTATATCATATAAAGAGTGCATGTTATTTTTTTTCCTAAAAAAATTATTTATTATTTATTATTTACTGGCCGAGCATGTTTTAAGAGCTTATGTTCAGACTTTAAGGGCTCCATATAGACCCTTTCGTTCGGATATTTGGGCTCGCAAGTCTAGTTTTAAGGTCCATCTAACGAAGTTGTAATATAGAGTAAATAACATATTTTAAAATTATTTAAAATAAATAGTAGTTTATTAAATAATAAAAAATAATTTGTGGTAAAAACGTGGAAAAAATATTTATCAGTCGTAAAAAAAAAAGTTATGTTGTTTTTTTACTGGTAGTGAATAAAATATTTAAGCGGTAAATTGTTATTTACTTTAAATAGTTTTAAAGAAAATGGTTGAAATTACTCTTATAATATATGAGATTCAATTTTTATCTTTTATTCTTGATTAAAACCCTTTTAATTGATACAGTTATTTAGCCAAAAAAAATATTAATAAAAGAGAAAAAATTCAGACTCTGCAAGCATATTTATCTCCTTTTCCCATAGTTTTAAAATCTCTCTTTACTTAATTTAATTTCATAAATTTTGCTATTTATTACGTTTTCCCCCAATAACCTCTGCTTTTATTAGGGCGCCTTTTTCTTATAAACTTTTGCTATTACAAAATTATCCTTAAATGAAGAGACAACAAAAAACACTTCTGTTTTCCAACTCCGAATGGAGGGTGGTGGAAGAAAACCTAATCAGTTCGGCTTCTACTGTCATTCCTGGAGGGATGGAGTGGCTTTTGTTTTGTTTAGGCTCATGGACAGTAGAAAGGATAGAGATAAATGTTGAATGTGAAGGATATAAAAAATTAAAATATTTGCTAAAGTTGTTAAGTAGATGGGAGAGCAAAATAGAAAGGTTGAATAATAATTTTTTGATTTATTTTTAGGAATGTGTTGCGTTTAATTAGTGTACTGGCCATCTTCCTTCGTAGTTATCGCGGTTGATGAACTGAACAAGTTCATGGATATTCAGAGTGCTTCATAGTTCACGTGAACCGATAGGATTATATCTCTACTACAACACCAACAACGAGTTTGTCGAGAATGGGACAAAACCAGGCGTGGGTTTCGTACTTATGCTATGGACTGTGGGGAAGGAGTAGTCGTCAACCATGTTCAACATGGACTAATTGAATATAAAGAGGGGAAAAATCCAAAATGCCACTCCTGACGGTAAAGTGTTATTCGTGCCACCCACTAAAATATGAACAATTAATTAATAAAAGAAAAAACAAATAGTTATAATGACATTGAATTATTTAGAATAAAACTACACAAAATTACTTTTCTCCATAGAGAGGGGAAAAAAAAAACAGTATGGACTAATTTCTCCAAATATTTGCTCAACAGAATGAGGCTCGTCAGTTCTCGCAGTTGTTGAGCCTGTGAGAGTTCGCCCATGTGCTAATGGACAAGCGACATATAGATTAGGGGCTTTTCGCAGTACACTAAAATTTCAGTCGTAGAAATATAGCAAAATCTTCAGAATATTTTAAGAAAAACAAACCATATATAGTAGGAAAAATATATCATTATTACGATAATTATTATGACATTTTTGTTATTTTTGAAATATTCTGCAAATTTTACAAATTTCAATACCAATCTAGCCATATTGTGTAATTATTTCTAGGGATCAGTAGTGTTTAAAAGAATAACACTTTCAGATAATTTGTATTCAATGTCAAGGGTGTGTTTATCCACATGAAAGAAAAATGGAATAAGAGCAATTCTCGCTTTTAATCATATGTTTTGCTTACAAATTTGAGGATAATAGTTTGGTAGATCCCCGTAACATAGGAAATTAAGAAAAAGAATCAATCCATACACCCCTTTAATATTTATTCCTTATTAAAGAGTGAATGCCTATTTGCTAATACACCCTTGATAAGTTCACGTCATAAAGCAATAATTATTTAATTTAGATTTTAGTAACTTGCATTGCTCGCATTTCTATACTGAAGATAGTAAACACTAACAAAGGAATAAAGATTGTTTCCCATTATACTATATCCTACTACACTATCAAATAGACAAGTAAATACTAAAAAAGAATCAAATAATTCTCATTATTATTACTTTACTTTCCTTTCTAATCACATTGCTTTTTCCTTACTTTCCTTTATGGTTCAACAAACACACCCCAATTATGTAAATAATTTAAACCCAATTTACTCATTATAGTGCGAGGAAATAAGTAATCTACAAAAAGTCGTACCGGCCTAATTCACTCTATGGATTGGTTGGCCTGTTAGCTACGTCCCAAAACAAATTGCTCAACAGCGATATATCAAATTACGTTTAGCTTTAAAAAAAAAAAAGTAAAAAAGTAGAGAAGAATCTTCTCAGAAGATCAGCCAAAAAAAGAAGAGAAAAACAGGAAATAAAATCCTATAGAAATAAGAGCATAAATAAGGAAATAACATTAGGAAACTAGTAGGAGCTAGACACCATGTCTATGTCTCCCTATGGCATCGACCAATCTTACTCGACCAAAATTGCTTGCTATTAAAACAACACCTAGTAATAAAAACATATAAGCTATCCTTTCGTATCTTAGCACCAAAACGTCAAATCTGCGGACCAGAAGTTGCTATCTGCGTTTATACCTGGGAAGATATCCGAGAGAGGAACATTCAGCATTATATATAGAAAGATATATAAGAATGACAGTCATGATTCGTGTCACATAAATAACTTTCTTTTTTGTCTTCTTCCTATTTTAACGGGTGATACTGCAGGTTTAAAGGGTTTTGAAAGTATCAACAATTTTTCTCTTTCAATTCTTAAGTTAATTTCACAGTGACCCTATGTGTTTACAACTTGCAAGGGAGATTTTAACAGCAGAATAACATAACAGGCTAAACTCATATCAAACCTATACATCTATATTGGTGCGGTTAAATGAAATATTCATCCAAATTAATCTGAACCTGAAACATATCTCATATGTACAGAAAAAGAACCCTTCCGAGCCACAATTAAACAAAAATAAAAAAAATAAATAACTGAGATGTGTTTCATACCTTGACTTGCTTTTAAACGAGTGCTTGGACTTTTTCTTTCCTGCTCCACTGATGTTTCTTCTCTGCTTCCTCTCACTCATGTCACTTTCAAATAGTTCCCTCATCTCTTCTGTCCTTGACTGAGTTCTTTCAGAAGAATGCTTAGGTTTCTTGCTAGCCTTCATCACAATTTTTCCAGCGTCCACAGCCTTCTTTTTAGCCTTCACAGCTTTTGCACGCCGGTAAGCCAGATCAACAAGTGACAAACCACTCTTTTCTTTTTGTTTTCCATTTCCCTGCGATTATCAACATGACAGTACTACTAACATGGCCAAAATAAATGTTTGAGGTGCTAATACAGGCTAGAGGAAAGGAGTGATGGATTGTGTATAAGATACAAGCCAAAACAGCATATGAATCAAGTTGCAGATAGCAATACACTCTTGGTGTCAACCAAATAGAGAGGCTGCAACAAAATTTGACCGAACATAACTAACATTTGCAATCTTATGAATCAATTCACACCACCACTACTACAACTGGCATCATAATCCACGGTGATCAGTTTGAATAGCATGCATCACCCAATTATTCGAAAAGAATCAACTTAAAAGACAATAAATTTTTTTTAAAAAGAAATGTGTGCATAGGTATTTATGCCTGCAATATACAAAGGCAAATACAGATGAATGAAAAAGAAAAGTATATAAGATACATACTTCTAGCTTTTCACTTTGATTTTCCTCTAGCATTTCTCTAGCTGCTTCCAGTTTTCGGCGCTTCTTCCGGGGCAAATTTTTCTGATCAAGACTCGAGAGGTATTAGTGGAAATGTGACATCTGATATTTTTCATGCAATTGTATTCATTAAGAAATAAGCATAGGATGGATGCAGGATTATAGTCACCTCTCGTTCTCGTTTCCTCTTTTCCTTCATCTTTAGGTCTTCTGCTTGTTGGGCACTGAGGACCTCGTTTCCAGATGTCTTTCCTTTTTCCAAAGATGCCTATCAATAGATATTTCAGATGTTAAGCTTAAAGAACATATTACACTAAGAAAGATGAGATATGCAAAGACCAAATTTAATCTTGTTGAAGCTATGAGATTAACAAGTTACATGGAAGCCTTTTACAGCAAAAAAAAAAAAAAAAAAAAAAATTTTTTCCATTTTTAG